TCTTTCCCTTTTTTCATTATTTTTAACAGCCTGTTCCATCAACATGGCACTTGGGAGTGTATGCAGGTCCATTATGCAGTCAGGTGTTTGTTAGTGTGGTATGATTGATTTTGTTTGGGCACCATTACCTCTTTTCCACCATTAGTTCTCTTGTCCCTGCTCTCTGTGCCCCCTGCAATGCTGGTGATGAATTCACTTGTCCAAGAATCTGGTCTGTCCTGTTCCTTTTCTAGGATAACGTGGCATACTTCTGCTACCCCTTCACTTTGGAGATGTTTTTCAACCAAGGAGACGAATCGGAAGGTGTGTATCCGTGTTGCTCTGAAATGAAACTCTGAAATCTTTTGATCGCAGTGTAGGCATCATGCTGTCTGGCATGTTGTCGACCCCTCACCAAGATGAAAGGACAGATTTAAACAAAGGAAAGTGTTGTTCGTTCAGCAGATTTCACCCTGTCACCACACAACCTCTGGACACGTTGCCCGCTTGGCCATGCATTAGCATTTGTATGGATTCATTGATGTTGCCCTGCTTCCAGGCTGTATTCAGTTTTATCCAGTTGCAAAACTACTTGGATTGTAGCTTGTCTTCCTCAAAATGCCTGGCCTGCTGGCCTGTATTGCCATGCCAGGTGTATGGCACAGAGCCCTGGGACGCTGCAGCAGAAGAAACAGGCAGCTTTTTTGTACACAGCTAGAACTCTGTGCTGAGTCTTACGTTTGTAGACATACTCAGTGACCTGTATAATCTTTGTGTCGTTTATGTCACTCTGAAACACTGAGCTCTATTTTAAGCTGAGCTTCTCTGCTGCTTTACTACAGTACTACGACTTCCTCACCACCGCTGTTGCTCTTTGGATTGCAATCGCTAGGGACTGCTTTGTGGCATGCCTTGCCACTTGAATCCAATGTACACATTGGTTTTGAGTATTCAACCAACAATAATGAATTTTCAGCGTAGAATAAACACAATGAGTTTGTTTCACTGTGGAAAAAAGAAATACTTGGAGACTGTAGAAGAATCCAAGTTAATAATCCCCCAATAATGGTGGGAAAGGTCAGAAATAAAAAGGTTTCCCTGTTTGGCATCAGATCATTCACAAAAGATTGTCTTGTCTGCTCAAAGATACTTGAGGAACCAGTTTGGACGTGCTCTCAAACCAAAGAGTTTTCCCAGATTTTTAACATCAATAGTTCTGTTTTCATCCTCAAATCTGAGGGTTCAGCTTTTACAGGGGAAAATAATCACCTGTACATCTAGGTTAGTCACTGTGGAAGAAATACAGAAAGGGCTTCCTACTAGTGGAGCTGGGTAATTAGCTTTTTTTTTTTCCCTCTGTAATAGCCTCCCTCACAAACTGTGATCTGCTCCACTTCCTTGCAGACAGTCTCCCTCAGTGGCCTGTTCTCTACTTTGAGGTCCTCTCCCTGGATTTCTGGCAGCGTTACCGCGTTGAAGGATACGGTTCTTTGGTGCTGCCAGCATCTCCAGGTAAAACATTTGTGGGCCACTATGTTAATTGTCTGGGAGAATGAGTTCACTGGTTTTCTTGGGAATGGATTCAGCTGGTCCTGGGGAGGCTTTGCCTTTGCATACTGAGGGGGATAGCTGTCTGTGGGGCAGCAAAGAAGGATTTGATGCATCCTGCACTGTTCTGCCTTGTTGTTCAGATGCATCATATGTTGCTGTCCTTGCTCCTTTGATGGTTCCATCACAAAATCTTGTGTGATAAAGCTCTAGGGTGATTCTGCATATCCATCTTTATAATAGCAGTAGCCCTCTCTGTCTGACATGGAATCTGAGGGTCACAACTGTTCTGACACCCATGTGTAATAAGGAGATGCTCCTCATGGGCAGGGGGTACTTTCCATGCTGGCTGTGTGACTGTATGGGGATGACTTTGTGCGAAAATGTTACAGAGATACCGTGCAGTGTGTCCATTTCCAGCCTACTGTGGTTTGGGTCAGCAGGTATCCGTCCACCATGCTGTCCTCTGCAACTCTGAATAGATGGTTGGTCATAGCTGCTAAGCTGTCCTGTTGTTCTGGGTCAGGTCTCCACATGCTCACCATCCCTACCTGGCGCCCTGTGGAGCTGGGGACAGTCGCTGAACTGAGGAGATTTTTCATCGGTGGATCTCCTGAGCTGGAGGACATAACCTACGTCAGGATACCATCAACCTTCAAGGTGGGCTAAGCTGCAGGGTGTTGCTCTTGCTGGGAGATGGGAGATGATGCTCTCAGTTTCAGATATCTGTGGACAGCCTCGACCAGATTTGAACAAGGATGAGCTGGTGGTCCTGTCCCTCTGACTAAAGAAATGTCTCCTCTATGAGACTTGTGATCATGAACAGAGGAAAGGGCAAATGCTGAGACAGAGCTCTCTGCCTTCTGAGGTATGTGCAGCTTAGAGAAGTGGGTGAACGTGGACCAAAGCCTTGATTTGCTCCTGCCTGTGCTGGCCCTATCCACAAAATGTCTGTCAGGTCAGCATTTGTTACCAGCTATAGACTTCTTCCTGTGGTTTTGTAAGGAATATGGGCTGTAGTGTGCCTGGAACAGTTTCCCAAAGTAAGAAGCCGATGGGTGTGAGGCAGACAGAAATTTTGCGTTCTTAAGAAAGCTGCAGAGGTGCTCGCTGGTGTAATGAGTAAGTTGATCTTGGTAGCAGCTTTGTGTGGGAATGAGCCCTGATGGAGTTTTTGAAACCTTCCTCCAGCACTGCACTATCAGCTTGCTAGTGTTTAGGTCATGCCCTCAGCACAGCCTGGGACCATCTGCCCTTCTTTCTGACCTCGCTCTCTGTGTGCAGTGGGGAAGGGAGAGACTGTGTCCACAGGAGTGCGTGCTTCTGGTGGGGCATGCTCATTTTCGCTAGGGTCAGCCTGCTGCAGCAAGTTGCAGGCTGTGGTTACTCTAACTTGTGCTGTCTTTGCAGGGAGAGCGTCTGAGCCGCTTTGGTTTTCGCACAGAGACAACAGGGAGCGTCACGTTCCGACTTTACTGCCTGCAGCAGTCCAAGTAGGTGCAGCAAAGTGAGTACGAGCTCCATCTTGTGTGCTGTGTTTTGGCAGCCCTGACCTCCTGGTGTATTTCTGTGCAGAGCCTTTCTGGAAACTAGTGCCCTGAGGCAGCGCATGCAGAATGTACTGGACCGGCGTGGAGGCTTCAGCCAGAGCTCTGTCTGCAACGTTTTGGGTAGGGCTTTCAGCGTCATTTTCCCTAGCAAGCCTTTGCTCACTCCTGCCCCCTTTTTACAGAGTGGGCAGGATATTTCAGGCGAATCCATTACTGTGGGGATAATTGCCCTGCCTTGAGCTCTCTGAGTCCATTGCAGAAGTTAAATGTTCTGATCTGAGCTGGAAACTTCAGGAGACATCAGCTCTCAGCAGGCAGGAGGCATAACCACTCTGTGAGGGCAAAGCCTGAACTGGGCTGCCCAGTCTTGCCTGGCACTGATCTGAGCATAGCTTGTGGCGCTGATGCACAGGCTCTGTCTCTGATTCTATTATGCACAGAGCAAAGACAGTGCTAGAAATAAATGAAGAGAGCAGCAAGGGCCAGGTGCTTTGTTGGTGGAACTTAGTAATAAGAACTGAGACAGGAGTGCCAGGAGAGATGATGTTCACTGGACAGACTCGTTCCTCCCCTTCCCTGAGGCTGACTGATGCATTCTGGCTTGCTGTCACCTGCTGTGTTGTAGAGGCTTTCCAGAGGGCACGGCGCCGGATGCAGGAAGCACGCAAGACCCTTCCTCAAGACCTCATCACCACCTCTGCCTCCACTGTGCACCAGTCACAGGAACCATGATTGACCACCTCCATGGCCTGGGAGCACTTAGCATCTTCTCTCTGACACAAGCT